AGGTGAAATAGATACCAGAAGTAAACATCGTCTTTGGTCCAGGTGTGTATACCAGAAGTAAACATCATCTTTGATCAGGTCCAGAAATAAACATCGTCTTTGATCCAGGTGAGTATACCAGAAGTAAACATCATCTTTGATCCAGGTGAGTATACCAGAAGTAAACATCGTCTATGGTCCAGGTGAGTATACCAGAAGTAAACATCGTCCATGGTCCAGGTGAGTATACCAGAAGTAAACATCGTCTATGGTCGAGGTGAGTATACCAGAAGTAAACATCGTCTATGGTCGAGGTGAGTATACCAGAAGTAAACATCGTCTATGGTCGAGGTGAGTATACCAGAAGTAAACATCGTCTATGGTCGAGGTGAGTATACCAGAAATACACATCACCTTTAGTCCAGGTGAGCATACCAGAAATAAACATTACGTTTGGTTCGGGTGTGGGCACTAGAAATAGACATCATGTCTGATGCAAGTGAGTATACAGGAAATAAATACCATCTTTGTTCCAGACCTGTGGTTATGCCAGAAGTTAACATCATCTTTGGTCCAGGTGAGTATACCAGAAGTAAACATCGTCTTTGATCCAGGTGAGTATACCAGAAGTAAACATCATCTTCGATCCAGGTGGGTATACCAGGAAGTAAACATCGTCTATGGTCGAGGTGAGTATACCAAAAGTAAACATCGTCTATGGTCCAGGTGAGTATACCAGAAGTAAACATCGTCTATGGTCGAGGTGAGTATACCAGAAGTAAACATCGTCTATGGTCGAGGTGAGTATACCAGAAGTAAACATCGTCTATGGTCGAGGTGAGTATACCAGAAATACACATCACCTTTAGTCCAGGTGAGCATACCAGAAATAAACATTACGTTTGATTCGGGTGTGGGCACTAGAAATAGACATCATGTCTGATGCAAGTGAGTATACAGGAAATAAATATCATCTTTGTTCCAGACCTGTGGTTATGCCAGAAATAAACATCATCTTTGATCCAGGTGAGTATACCAGAAGTAAACATCACATTTGATCCAGGTGAGTATACCAGAAGTAAACATCACATTTGATCCAGGTGGGTATACCAGAAGTAAACATCACATTTGATCCAGGTGTGTATACCAGAAGTAAACACCACGTTTGGTCTCAATCAGTAAATTAGAAATATGCCAAGTTTAGTCCAGATCAGTATTTCAGACAGTTTTAGCATGGCAAACTAAACTTGAAATACAATCCACATTGCCATTAAAGTATTTGAACCCGATACAAGTGCATTTTTAAATTCAGAGATACCTGTCCTTCACCTCAGAACACGACAGCTGCCGCCACCTGACTATGCACATGCAAGAGTGCGTTCAGTAACCTACTTCAATACGTTATAGTTGTATATAAAGTTATATACGTACATTGTTGATTCAGCTCACTTAAAAGTATTTACTGTTTCCACCTCAAACATGCGAACAGTGGGGGAACCCTGTTCACCCCAGCCCAACCGTATTATACACAACAGAGCTGGAATACTAATATTAGCCAAGTATTTAAGACGAATTCAACGATCCACTTGTGAAACGAAGCACCGTTGGCTGCCTAACAAAGGTGAGCCGGTTAAGTACAACCACGAGACAGTGTACTACACAATGTAACAAAAACCCACTACATCACGTCCGACAGAAATCGCTTGTTTCCGTAACCTGCGGGGACAAGTAGACCTGTCCTGATTGGTCGCCAACACTTCCAAGACTCTCTGAGGTGTTAACGACAACACTTGCTATTGTCAACGGTGTTGCATTCAGGTGACACGAATACCTGTACCAGACTGTTTGGTTCGTGCTGCTATGCAAGCGCGTATTGACCTTGAGACAAACAAAACGTAACAACTTTGATGACATATCCATCAAATTGACGTCACAAATGACAAGTGTTGACATTGAAAATATACATAACAATTGCGAGCTCCTTCTTACTCAGTGACTCATACGTTGTGGATGGTGTATGTATTATAATGTACGCTACATTGGTTGGCGTGTGTTGTGGGTATGTCCTACACATAATGATAGGCCACAACCTGTTAACTATATGTTTCGCGTCATGCCTTTATCCAATTGTCATGTTGATCAATGAAGGCGCAGTCAAGAAATGGATGTCACAGATATTGGACCTTCTTGAACTTATGCTGCGACTCAACAGAAGGAGTGAGCTCATTTTACCACTAGCTACCCTGTCAGACAAAAGAAATCACACCCTTGATAATTTGGTATGAACAAAAGGTTACAAGCTCGTCAAAATGTTACGAGGCTGTAAACAGTGGCCGAAAACATTATAAACTGATGGTCGAAACACAACTCTTACACCTTTGTGAAATACACCACCATCGAATAGCTGTTTATTTCATTGATACATTATAAGCCACCTTTAAATATTACTGTGTATTTTCTTTTGCCTGTCATTATATTATATATGATCGGGCGGGATGGCCCAGCGGTTAAAGCTTTCGCTGGTCATAACCTGGACCCTGGTTCAGTTCTCCCAATTGGTACATTCCTGGTGATAGTCATATCAAATGCTAGCAGGTCACCCGTAAAGGTTACAAAGGTTAAATGGAGTCAACACAGATCAATAGTATACCCTTGCTCGAGATCGATCCCTTATATACATATTTATACACCTGGCCGAGGTCATTAACCAGTATTCGAAATATGCGCTTGCCCGAAGGCCCGTGACAGGTAGATTTCGTTTCGGTCCCGTCGTGTCAAAATTCCACAGGTCCTAATTTGGAACGCTGACAATATATGATGAACATTATTACAGTGAGAGCGACGTTTCGGGGTAGGTTTTAACACCGTTATCAAGGTCCTAATTTCCTGCAGTTGCTTAAAGTGTCGATTTATCCATCAAAATAAGTTGCGATTGTATTTAAAAAAGCCTGAACACTTTAGTCAGGGCCTGAAACTTCTAAAATATGAAGGCATCATGGCATGTATTAAATTTAAGATCCAACAGTAACTCGTCTTTATACGCCTAACCGGTCTTCCTCGTGTAGCGCGACATGAAACAACGTCACGTGACGTGGATTTACGTTAGTCTCGTTGTAAATGTCTTCCCACGAGATTCGGGGAGAGATAACGATGGGTAATAATGGTGTGTTTGGTGTTCTTTATTGTAGTCTCAAGAAACGATACATCATAACAGCTCATGGCCCTTGTTTGATGTATTGTCATAGTTTGAGACGGAGGCTTGTCAGAAAGACCAGAAATATCCCATAGATGTGTCAGTGAAGACCTGTTTCTCCAGAGTAGGCTACACAGAATTTCTTATTGCATTTTGTGCCCAATAGATTTTGATTCGGCGATAATTCAGCCTGGCTATTCTCTAGCGTTAATGTTTTATATGATATATATAATAGATGAGTGTGAGTGAGTGAGTGAGTTTAACGCCGTCTGTAGCAATATGCCAGCAATAACAAAGCGGGGCGACACCAGAAATAGGATTTAAACATTGTACCCATGTAGAGTGAATATGATGTTCACCAACACAACACATTATGTTTGACATGGTTATCCAACTTTTAAGAAATGTTTGAGACGCACAGGTACAATAATTGTGCACCAGTTTGTCAGTTTAACACGCCAACCAGGCTCAACGCGACTCAGTTCCTCTTTTCTTGACGTTTCCGATACGAAAGAGTGAGTGAGTGACGTTTTACGCAGGTTTTACCAATATTCCTGCAATACATATTGCACCCAGTTTCCGATACGAGCTCTTATTCCGGATTCTAATAAGAGGTAACGTGAATCTGTGAAAGGCATGCACATGAACCATACACACTCGAATACTTTGTGCATTGTTTAATATAGAAATGATTATATGCATAAATCCTACGAGGTTAATATTGTGGATTAAGTCGATTCTCTTATGATTATTGTCACAATAATATTGATGATGATGGTGATGATGACTGGCGTCCCCTGTTATATACAATACAACGAAATAAGACGCTATTTACGTGTCGTAATCTTTTTAAGAAAGTGATTCATGCGAGGTATTCAAAGGTCGTATTCATTGTCGTAGCCTCATCTTTCCTTTCCTGCTACTGTCAAACATACCAGCAATAATAACGAGAAACCAAATTAATGATAACCTTACTTTTGGTGACATGACGAACTGTAAATGTGAATGTAAATGACAGACAAGAAAGATCGGGTACAATCGGAGTGAATGTCGCGATACATCGATGAATCGTGTGAGCCTCGTGAATGGGGAAACAGGTTATGTCACTCTGTCAAGAGTGTCCAAGTATGGATAGTTCAGCTGTGGGAACCAAGTGTGTTGATGAAGGGTCAGGTCGCACACAAGGGGGAGAAAGTCAGAACTTCAAGCTTGAATGATTCTTCATAATGGCGAACCGTGCTAATTTATGCCTGAATATGTCAACTGTGTTTGTGTGTGTGTGTGTGTGTGAGAGAGAGAGAGAGGAGGGGAGGGAATTTGAATATGCAGTGAATAATGCGTCGTTTTGTGGTTAAGGTTGCGCGGAAGATACAATTTGTTTCTCAGCAAGGGGTCTATAAACATTAAATCTAAGAAACAACAACGAATCTACAGTTCCCATCTTGCATGGTATCAGATCAAGCATCGAGTTCGCTTGTTTTGGTGCTGTAGGTTTATACATTAAGATGTAATTTTCAGCAATCACGTCAACAGAGCGTTATATAGTATGACAGTTGTGCAGCCCTTAAACATCAGCAGAAATCACACGTTCCAACTATACATAATTTCAACTAAAAGTGTTGGAGAATAATTTGTCCCTAGAAACAAACTTCTGCGATCACAGTTCGATGGATGAACATTTCAAAGTTTTGAAAGTTGTTTTTCAAAACTCAGCCTGCGTGTGAATGTATGAGAAGTTTGAAAACAGTTCCCACGTTGTGAGAAATCGTTATGACCATGTAGTGTATCAGTCATAACTAATGGTAAACATCATAATAAAAATACTCACCCTTTTCAATGTTTCGTCTCCCGATTTCCCCAAAGATCGTAAGATCCCTTTGCATTCGCCATGACCCTGTCTTTGTCACAGGCCGACTGAACGAACCAGAAACCTTGCGTTCTTAATGGTCTAGCGAGTCCGGGCGTATTCAGTAACACACATCATTCGGAGATCTGCCTTTAACATGACATTACAAGACGTTGCCTCAGGCACTGTTCTACCGCATGAAAGTATGTGGCGACTGCGCATGTCAAATGAGAATAATTTGTAGAGCAATTAAGTACTCCTTTATTTTCACACTGAATTACCAACACGCTATACACTGATAAGCCGAAGGGGTAGTTATGCTTGACAAACTTGTCGTTCGTTTAATGAGGGAGTGAGTTTAGTTTTACACCGCTTTTAGCAATATTCCAGCAATATCACGGCGGGGTACACCAGCAATGGGCTTCACACATTGTACCCATGTGGGGAATCGAATCCGGGTCTTCGGCGCGACGAGCGAACGCTTTAACCAAGAGGCTACAATAACATGACCGCATAGGTTTATGTGAAGAGAGCTTGATTCTTTTTGTTTCTCTCTGTAGCCTTTTTTACATAATGTTATAACATTAATCGCTGATCTCAGCAGGTTATATCTGAAAAACAAAATAATGAACAAAACCTTCCCCTTCTCAAGAAATAGATTAGAAATTTGGAATTCGTTTGGAAGTGGTGAATTAAGTGGCTAAATTGACTATATTTTTACTATTTGCGCACCCCTGCACACCCCACCCCACCCCCTCTCTGGATCTGCCTATGGATCATCTAACATAAGTTTTTCAAAGGGGCGTGGAAAACCTACATCGGTCGTCCCATTTGATTGAAATGGTTAGATGTTTTGTTATTCACCTATGGCAAGGGTCGTTCAAGGAATCTCTCCGTGCAATCCCTTAGAACCTGACAGAAAGAATTACTGGTCGTGACGGGTTAATTTTTCATGTGGTGAACGTTTCACCTGTTCAGGGAGGGAATCACGAATTGGAACTGTCTTCATTGTTTCTCTCACGTCGAGGTAGGCCCGGGCTTGTGAAACACATCGTTCAGTTTTCAACAAATTCTTGTACCCATTAGAAATCACGATCAAAACCTAACCACCACCCTATTTTGTTTGTGGTTTTTACACATTAAATAACTACAATATCATCAACACTCGGGAGTCATCTCTCTCGGTATCTGTCGTAACGCATTTCATAGGGATTAGTAGGGCGTAAAGATGGAAAGAATGTATGTATGTATGTATGTATGTATGTATGTATGTATGTGTGTGTGTGTGTGTGTGTGTGTGTGTGTGTGTGTGTGTGTGTGTGTATGTATGTATGTATTATTATTATGATTATTGTTATTTGCACATTAACATATTTAAGAATTTATGTGCCACAATCTGTACATATAAAATGGAACAACGTTCCTGAATTGTTATTATTATCATTATTGTTATTTACAGATTAAAGTATCCAAGAATGGATGTGCCACAATATGTACATATGAAATGGAACAATGTTCCTGATTTTATGTTTTTATTATCTTAATTGTTATTTTCCGATTAAAATAATATAATGTATGTGAACGACTTTTCTGAATTATTATCATAATCTTTATTGTTATTAACACATTAAAATATTATGAATGCAGTAAAGATGGTTCAGGTCATCCTGACACAGTCAGGCTGGTGAGGCTCATCATGAACTTTGGGCTCTCGCCCCCTTGCCAGTCAAAAGATTGGGAGGTACCAAATCCGAGACTCCAAGAATAATGGAGAGTCGAGCAACTTGGGGTGCAAATAGATATTTCATAAGCCATTTTCTTCCCGAATCATATATTTTACGTATGAATGTGTATTGCAATGTCCTTCTTAAAAAGTGACATATGTGTGGGGAAAAGACCCAGTCACCAATAATGCGTTGTTTCAGTAACGGCGTTTGACACTGTAAGGAGCAGCCAAACCCGTCTCCCCTATCATCGTACAGGTATGCTGTGGAGTGTCTTCTTCAAACCAGAATGTATAGTCCCAAAGTGTTGAATCATTTGTGTGTAGCTGATCTGTAAGAAGCGGATTTCCACTCCTTGGCTTGCTTCAACAAATGTACAGTAGCATGCAGTCATGCGTGATTTCAATGCGCAATACAAACAAAAACACGGCTACGGTTGGCTGTCAGCAGTTCTATTGAAGCTTTGACACATTCACTTAAACACCATTCGTTACCTCTGTTAAACCATTCAGAAACTTTCTCGCGAGATTCTGCGAGACCTCGTAAGGGACGAGAAATCATCGAGGACTCAGCGAGAACTGAGTTAATATAGTATTAAAACGTAAAACAACGTAAAGGAAAGGAAGGATAACATTAAATGGAGGAGCAACTTATTTATACAGTGACAGCGACGTTTCGGTGTAGGTTCTAACACCTTTGTCAACTGCTTGATAGCGGTGTTAGTACCCACTCCAAAACGTCGCTCTCACTGTATAAAGAAGTTGTTCATCCATCCATGTTTATTTTTATCCTTCCTTAGTGATCCAACATCAAAAGGGGCATTGGGATAGCCTAGTGGTTAAAGCGTTCGCTCGTCACGCCGAATACACGGGTTCGATTCCCCTCATGGGTACAATGTGTGAAGCCCATTTCTGGTGTCCCCGCCGTGATATGGCTGGAATATTGCTAAAAGCGGCGTAAAACCATACTCACTCACTCATTCCAACTTCAAAATGCCTCTCAAAGAAGGTAAAGTACCCATAACGTAAGATAACCACTCCAAGTTCAAACTACATCTCAAACCGATGTGACACTGCGAACCGTTAAAGACGTAGTTAAAGTGGATTATCCTAAACCCACCTTGAAAGTCTATACCCAACTGCAGCAATACAACGGAAATTCCCATGTCGGGAGTTCAGAGGTCAGAATGACGCCCGGGGCCTTTTGAGACAGCGTTAACAATAATTAGAGGGCATCGTACAGATAGAAGTATTAGATTGCTGATAGGTACCTGTCAGTTGGTAGGTTATTGTCGAACATAAGTCAAATCATCGAACCATGACGTCCCCGCTATAGCGCTGCGATTAGTGATCTACTGATTGCGGGAGTTTGTTATGGGAAGGGATCCAAACACGTTGTAATCAAGGATTAACCATCAAAGGGATGGGCCCACTTGCTCAAAGCGAACTAAGCTCTACGATGGGCATTATTCCATACTAATAGACATAGATAGCGCTGAGGTGGCTTTGGGCAAGTGGGCGCTGGCCAGGTTCTTCCCGACATTTAACAACAGACATTCGGAGGATGTAACGAATATGACATGTTGCTTGTCAACTCTGTTGCATGGGATGCCGTCCCGTACTGAGCTGGCGACGAACCCAAACGGTCGGCTCAATATAATATACTGAGGATTGTATGGTCTCTCATATTCAAATTCATTCTCTCTCTCTCTCTCTGAGACTCTCTCTCTTTCTCTCTGGGATCCCCCCCCCTTCTGTCTCTCTCTCACACACACAACAGATCACACACGTGTCTCTCGTTGGCAAGAGAGAGAGAGAGAGAGAGAGATAGAGGAGAGAGAGAGTGGATAAGGGAGGGGCGAGAGTGAGATTATATATATATATATGGTGTGTGTGTGAAATCACAGGGATATATTATGTGTGAGATGTCTCGCTAGTTAGACTGACAGACAGAGCAGAGATATATAGAGTAAGTACATCATTAAGTCAAATTTAGAGGTATACCATGGCAGCTGCCATGGAGCTGGAATTCCCTTTGTTGTAAACGTGAGCATCCAACCACAAAACAAGCCATTAGAATGATGGTTTAACCACGAGACCCCCGAACTAACTCCACCGCCTCCATTTTAACCACCCAATCTCCCGATCACCCAATCTGCTTCACTGAATAGATCGTGTTGACAGGATCGTGTTGCTAGTGCATTGTGTTCACGTACCACATTCTCCAAAAACACAAAGCTCTATCAAACCCTTTATATACGTGTCTAATTTTAACAACAGGAAACCGAATCCCACCCCTTCCTTGTTGTAAAGTCCATACTCCTCCCAGCTGAAAAGAATTTCAAACAGTCTTACAATTCCACATACACGCATCGGAAACCGGCGAGTGCCACTCAGGTGGGAAACCACATTAATCTCACGTCGTCGACGACGTACGGATCATCACACGACGTCGTTTCCTCCTGGATGCGCGCCAACCACATGGACGTGTGACGAGGCCTTACAAGAAGCAGTTATGAAATAAACCAGGATTATTCTTCATATTGATATACCGCAGAATGCAAGGAAGTGTTCAATATCCTGTATCTTCATGTCTCGAGATGCTGATATGACGGTGAAATCTTGAACAGTCATGATCGTATTAGCATGACTTTCATTTTTTAGATGTTTTCCCTTTATCTACTTATTATATGCATGCTTATATGTTGGTTGTTGTATTTCTAATGTGTGATTTTAAAAAGAGATGTCAAGATAATTCAACTTTTTATATTCAGTGTAGTTGTGCTTATGGTCGAGAGTTCAGTAAAAGCCAACCCTCAACTTGAACGATGACATCATGAAAAAGATTTGGTCTTCATCAACACACTTCAAATACAGTGTTCAAGTTGTTGTTTTTGTTTATTCCGTGAAGGTGGCATTACAAGTTTTCTTTCTAAACGTACGTGGATATAGTCACGGTCGAGACTTCAGCCATTAATCAACTTGAAATACAGCATCATGCAGATCCGGGTTAGATCTAGTCTTCAGCAACCCATCCTTAACGTTAGGGATGACTAACGGGACGGGGGCATGCTCTCTCACACGGTTGATGAATGTCAATGACATCGTAATAATTATTGTTTTGTAGATCGATGCTCATGATATCAATCCCTGGATTGCCTGGCCTAGACGGGACCGTCGTCACAGAACTGTGAAATTGCTGAGTGCAGCTGTCGAAAATAGACAGCAAAGAAACAAACCAAATAGAAAATCATCTGGCCCCGGGGTCATGAAAGGGACTTAAGTCTACAAATTGCTTAAATCTGTCATTTTGATCTGAAGTCCAAAACTTGTCTTAAATCGGGGATCACGTACATTGTTTTAGTCGTAAA